GATTGGGTATAAAAGAGCATCTCAGAGAGGCGGAGTCTTTCAGAAGTAAAGATGAGGAGGGGTTCACCACTCTGTGAAAGACTGCACCATCAAATAGTGCAACAATTCAAGAAGAACGTTTCTCCACATAAAACAGCAAAGAACTTCTGCTTTTCATCGCTTTTCATCATCTACGGTTCATATATCATTAAAAGACTCAGAGAATCTGGAGAAATCTCTGTATGTGAGGGACGAGGCCAAAAACCAGTATTTGCTGGCCGTGATCTTTGGGCCCTCAGACAGCACTGCATTAAAAACAGACATGATTCTGCAGTGGAAATCACTGCATGGGCTCAGAACGTTTTTGGATTGTCGGCATCAAATTCAAAATGGGCAAATATTTTACAAAAACAATAAAATTTCTCAGTTTCAACATTTGATTTGTTGTCTTTGTATTTTCCTTTAAAAATACGGTTTACTTGATTTGCAGATCATTGCATCCTATTTTTATTTACATTGTTTTATTTACATTCACAGCGTCCCAACTTTTTTGGAAATGGGGTTTTACTTTGCATATTTAACAAACGATATAAGCAAAATATTAAACACTGCTAGCACGCATGCTAAAACGCTACAATTAGCAAAACAGTTAACAACTAATTAAACATCACTTGAGTTAGAAGTTAGAACTTCTTGTTTTCGTAAGGGACCTAGAATACCATACCAAAACCTGGGAATACCATAGCAACCACCGGGAATACCATACCAAAACCTGGGAATACCATAGCAACCACCGGGAATACCATACCAAAACCTGGGAATACCATAGCAACCACCAGGAATACCATACCAAAACCTGAGAATACCATAGCAACCAGCTATGAACTCTGCTATTCCCAGCTTCTTGTTTAAATTTTCCTGCTCCACCTTAAATGGTGCAGCAGTTACATTCTGGAGCTTCAGGCGTCAGAACTGCTGGACTATTTAAGGTGGAACAGGAAATTTGTTAGCTAGCTACTGAGACATCAGTACACTACTAGTGAATTTTTATGCTTATTATGAAGAAAAGGACCAAAATACACATTAAACTAAATGACATTAAACTAAGATATTATAATGGTTATCGTAATTTTTAACGGAGAAAATTCTCACATTGGTGGGTTTCTTTGGTCTCCTGATCAGCCAGTTTGCCGTTTTTTCTTTTTTTTTTTGTCATAACCGTTTGGAGGACCATGCAGCTCAAACACTTCGCCCTACCCCTCTATCTCAACAAGAACCAGGACGACGGACAAAACGAAGGGGTAGGGCTGAGCGGTCGTGGCGAGGGGTGAGATGGGATTGGGCCTTAGACACTCAAGCAAAACCTGATCAAAACTGGCGTTTCACTGAATCGCTGGTCTGTATCTCCCTCATCCTGCGGTGAAGCGTAATTGATATCCAGTGTTCAAACACTGGCACCCCGAATGGTTAACCGAGTACGAGCACACACCCTTTACTCAGACCCTTCACTTGAGAGGTAACACTGGTGTCTACAAACTTCTGGACATGTAGAAGGAACATTAACGTCCCCCCGGCTTCTGTCCGCTGCCTCAGAGAGGCCTCCGAACAGGGTCACACTGAGCTTTTACTCAGGAGTGGCACTGAAACAATGGGCACACAGAAGATTTAAAACGGCCCAGGCAGCAAACAGAGAGATAAATCAGCACTGGGTGGTCCAAAAGCCAAAGTCTGGAAGCCCCCACAGGAGAGCGGCTGCATGAAAAAGCTTGAGATCATTTCACAGAGCAGGATTTCTCAGTTTAGCCAGATAACTTAAGCCAACATGTCCAATGGACAATCTCATCGGACAGTTCTCAAGTTTGGGCTTAAGTTATCTGTATTCTTAAAAAAGATGGTTCTTTGAGGTTTTAGTAAAAGGAATGGTTGTATTTAGACTCCGCCTACCTCACCCCTGATTGGCTAAAACACATTAACGAGGACACGCATTCCATCAAATAATTCTCAACCAGGCACACAGTAATTAGGATGATATAACGATTATGGTTTAACATTTTACATTAAATTTGTAGTGAATAAACATCATTTTTGCTAAAGTAAACGAAAGATTGATCGTTTTTATATGGAAATCGCAATTTGAGAGCAACTGTCAAATCGCAGGAGCTGAATTTTTTTTTAAAATTATAGTCTGCATAATCAAAAACACTGTCTTAAGTTTGAAGTGAGGGAATTTAGCCTAATAACACAGAGCTTGGCAACTGCATGTAGGTGAGTTAGACCAATCAGAGGCAGTCAGACCCCCCCAGTGTTGTGACATCACAACCACAACTAACTGGCAGTTTGGCACATACATTTAGGGGTTGAGCGGATATTCTGGTCTTATTGGCCAAAAAAAGCCTGAATCTCAATTTATAGAAAATAATCACAATATTAGTCAGAAAAATCGCAGCTAGATATTTTCCCCAAATCGTTCAGCCCTAAACTACATTCAAACATACATTTTATTTATCTGCCGCAGAAACTTATTTTAATAATTCAGGCGTTAGTGTTTAGACAGAAAGGTCTAAGTTTGTCAGGGTGTCTGTCAGCTTCCTTAAACACTTAATTTGTCTGACATCACATTTTACAAATTAAAAGCCCCAATAAGTATTAAATTGTCCAATTGTGCTCTGAGCGTTACGCCCTTTATCGTGGGAAAGAAATGGAGTGCTGCAAAAACAACTGACCCACAATGATGAAGTGACGTGGAAAAAAGAGAGAAAAGTGTTAAACGTCACGCAGACTGTAAACGGAGGAGAATAAAGGAAACTCAGACTGTGAGCTGCTTTATCAGAAACCCACAGCAGATCGTGATGGTCCAGACACTGAACAGACTCCTCTATTCTCTGTGTGAGGAGCTGAAGAGTCAGACTGAATGAGCTCAGACTGATTAGGGGAAACAGCAGAAAGAGCTGAGCTAATCAGACAGACTCATTAAACTCCATTAACGAAGGTCTGAGAGAGACAGACAAGCAAACAGCTCAAAATCTCCACAATACAGAAGCCCACTGAGACGTTTAACCCTTTCAATGGAACCCTTTTCATTATATGGTATCAATAAGCTATTCAATTATTACTATTCATAAATTAGCTGTGTAGTTATGACTTAATATTCTATGAGAACCTCTTCAGGAATTAGCTATAGTAACTCAACTACTCGATATAAAATTTAATGAATTAATCGATTTTTAATAATAATTTAACATTATTCTTAAAACTTAACTTCATAAAAGGGTTATGTAGTTATTTTTCAGTGCCGATGATAAATTACTCAGAACTGACAATGAATTACTCAGAACTGACAATAAATTACTCAGAACTGACAATGAATTATTCATTATTTTACTCATAAAAAAGTGAAACTGTTCTTCAGATTGATAGAGAATCTGTTGTATATGGTTCTATGAGGTAACCTTTTTGAAAAGGGTTCTATATAGCACCAAAAAGGGTTCTGCTACTGTTATGATGTCAAGCTTGTAAACATTAGAAGAACTGCTTTTTGGTGCTACACAGAACCCTCTTCATAGAACCATATACAACATTCTCCATCAATCTGAGGACCCATTTCACCAGTCAAAGAATGCTTTAAGCATGCAAGCAGTTCTTTGAGTGTTCAGGGTTCTATATAGAACCACTGTGTTTATTAAAAACCTCTTGAAGAACCATTTCTTTTAGGAGCGGACTATGAAGTAATCAGCATACACTGGGTTATTCAGTGTTTACTATGAGTTATGTAGTGTGTATTATGAATTATTCAGTATTTTATGAATTACATATTGTGAATATTATAAATTTAGTCTATTATGAATTATTCAGTGACTATTAGGAATTATTCAATATCTATTATGAATCATTCAGTATTTAGAATGTATTATTCAGTGTCTATTAGAAATAATTCAGTGTCTCCTATGAATTATTGTGTAACAAATCATTCAATATCTATTATAAATTATTCAGTGTCTATTACAAAGTATTCAGTGTCTATTATGAACTATTCTGTATCTATTAGAAATTACATAGCGTCTATTATGAATTATATAGCATCTGTTATGAATTATTTAGTGTCTATTGTGAATTATTCAGTGTCTACTATATATTATTTAGTATCTATAATGAATTATTCAGTGTCTATTATATATTATTAAGTATCTATTATTAATTGTCCAGTATCTATTATGAATTATTCAGTATCTATTACATATTTATTATCTATAATGAATTAATCAGCATCTACTCTGAAACTAATGTGAGGAACTTGTGAGGAAGTTTGTGTATTTTGATACATTACAGTACAAATCACATTTAATACTACCATCCTTCAAACTACTTTATAATTCCACCTAAACATCTACAAAAACTATAAATTACTGTATATACACCAATGCAAGGCTTAGTTATCAGTATCTAACACAAATTACTCAGTATTATTCTGAGTCTTTAGCAATCTGATCTGAACTTGATCTGATTGATCATATAAACTCAGTGATGAAGGTTAGGCAATGCTGCAATGTTCTGGCTGTGCTGTTCCCGTCTCCAGGGTGTGGCTCCACTGACTGCATGATCTGTCAATAACAAAAGCTGCGTTTCTGATGAAACTGCAATCTCAGCGCATGAGTTAACCTGCCTTGACGACGTCTCTCCACGTCTCCGAGAGTCTTAACGCTGCTGTCAGGGCAGAAAGAGTCCTGCGGGAGACCGAGTTAGTGGATCTGTCTCTATGAAAACAGGTCTTAATGTTTGTTTACCATCAGCAAACAAAAATTTGACAAAGAAACTGCCGTTCCAGACGTTTGGTAAAGCTTTTTAGTAAAACTAACCACTTCCAAGGAAAATGTTTGTCCTATGACGCCATTTCTCCCGCAGTAGTCAGGACCTGCTCTTACACGTCCACAAGGCTGTTAGATATCAACCACAGAGGTTCACTGTAATCTGAATTATTACCAGTAATTTGCTCACCGTTCAGTTCACTGAATTTTATACGCCTCTAACATGTGATTTAAAACAAAGAGCTGCTTCACCTGAACCAAGACTAAGCAGGAGTCTAGACTAAAAAGGATTTTCAGCAGTGAATCACCATCAGTGCTACAATTTAGCCCAAGTCCAGGCTTAATCCATGTCCAGAAAAACAGCTAAAAGCAGTTTAAGCTTGAAGGGGAATTCCACTGATTTTTTCAAATTTCCTCCATAGTTCAGTGTGTGAGATGTAAACAGAGAGATTCAGAGCGGTTTGGTGTGAAATGGTTCAGATGTCTTTACAGTGGTGGTGATAGGAACCAGGAGTCGCCATGACTTTGTTTACATCTTAACCATTTGATAATGAACAAATTTTGAAGAACTGGTGGAGTTCCCCCTAAATTCTTCATAAATTAATAAATAAAAAATAAAAAAGAATTATAAATAATTCTATGCTCTATTTTCTTACAACTATTATTATTATTATGATTATAATGTTTATTATTATTACTGTTATTCCAGAGATCTAAAATTATGAATGTTAATTTCGTAAAAAGACATTATGTAGTATTTCTGGTATTCTGGAATTAAGTTACACATATTAACTGTAAAATAGCAGAAATTCTGAAATAAGTTTTCTTTGGGGACTATTTTGCCTCACAGCGCCCTGCATGTATCCCTCCACCATGAATGGAGTTTAAGTTCTCTAAACTATCATAAAACAGTGTCTCAGTCATCAGGCAGTGAATTCATAACCATTTCATGTAGGAACTTTCTGTGAGGGAGCTTTTAGAGGTGGACGTCTGGTTCCTATCACCACCACCGTGAACAGTTCTGACTCGGCGAAGCAGAGTTGTTCTGACATTGCTTACACCTTAACCATTTAATTACGAACCCATGAACTCATAAATGATTTGCAAAGATATGCAAATCATTTAAACCCTATATTTAATTGAAAATAGTACAAAAACAACATATCAAATGGTGAAACTAAGAAATTGAGGAGGGGTTCACCACTCAGTGAAAGACTGCACCATCAAATAGTGCAACAATTCAAGAAAAACGTTTCTCAACATAAAATAGTAAAGAACTTCTGCTTTTCATCATCTACGGTACAAAATATCATTAAAAAGAAATCTCTGTATGTAAGGGACGAGGCCAAAAAACAGTATTTGCTGGCCGTGATCTTTGGGCCCTCAGACAGCACTGCATTAAAAACAGACATGATTCTGTAGTGGAAATCACTGCATGGGCTCAGAAACACTTCTGAAAAACATGTTTATCGTATATAAACAGGATCCACAAACGCTGCCACCTTCTCTGGGCCTGAGCTCATTTAAAATGGACTGAGGCGAAGTGGAAAAGTGTCCTGTGATCCGACGAATCAACATTTTACAATCTTTTTGGAAATCATGGTCACTGTGTCCTCCGGGCTAAAGACCACTCAGGTTGTTATCAGTGCACAGTTCTAAAGCCAGTATTCATGATGGTGTAGGGGGGCATTAGTGCACATGGCATGGGTGACGTGCTCATCTGTGAAGGCACCATTAATGCTGAACAATATATATACATGTTTTGGCAACATATGCTGCCATCCAGACGACGTCTTTTTCAGGGAAGGCCTTGATTATTTCAGTAAGACGACGTCAAACCACATTCTGCATGTATTACAGCAGCACTGCTCCGTATTAAGAGTCTGGGTGCTAAACTGACCTGCCTGCAGTCCAGACCTGTCACCACTGAAAACATCTGGCACATTATGAAATGAAAAATATAACAAATGAGCCCCTGAACTGTTGAGCAGCTGAAATCCTTTATCAAACAAGAACAGGAAAACATTTCACTTTCTAAACTACAGCAGTGTCTCCTCAGTTCCCAAACACTTACAGAGTGTTGATAATGAAGAGGTGATGAAACACAGTGGTAAACAGGCCCCCGTCCCAACTTTATTGGAACATGTTGTTGGCATCAAATTCAAAATGGGCAGATCTTTTTCAAAAAACAATAAAGTTTCTCAGTTTCAACATTTGATTTGTTGTCTTTGTAGTATTTTCAATGAAATATATGGTTTACATGATTTGCGTATCATTGCATTTTGTTTTTATTTACATTCTGCACAGCGTCCCAATTTTTTTGGAAATGGGGTTCTATGATAACATTTTGAGGGAGTTCTTCTTCGAAAATTAAAATGAGATTAAGTGTCTTAGGTTTTTCCTAAGGGTGAAGACCTCAAGCCTCATGAAACAGCTTTGCACCAAAATATAAACATTCAGGTTTACATAATAAATATGATAACTGCAGAAAAACTGACTGACTGAGACAATAAGACTGTTCTCTATAAAGGTATATAGAATTAATATAGACATTATATGTTAAATGTGTTGTATATAACTATCCTCTACTTATTTTTTTACAACTACTATTATTGTTGTAGCTGCAGAGACTTTAAACTCTGAGTTAAAGTGCAGTTGCCCTTTCAGGTTCTCTGCCTGCTGAGACACAGTGGAGGTGTGGATGTACGTTACTGTGTGAGTGGAGCTGCAGTGTTTCAGGGTTTCCTCTCACAGTGTAATCTGAGAGGGGCTGTGAGGTGGTGACCCTTGATGCCTGAGCAGTCAGGGCAGCAGGGTTTTGAGGGGGGCATCCAAATACCTGCGAATCATCTTGGGGTCCCCCTGAATCAGAATCGTCCTCTTCCTATGAAAACAGAAATGAACAGCGTCACCACAATCAGCCTCATTTCAGCAGGCGGAGCGTTTACAGGCCGTCAGCCGAGCAGCTCAGAGTCGGCCCAGTGCAGCGGCGCCTCTCAGGCTCTGTAACTGTGACTGTAACTGTGACTGTAACTGTGACTGTAACTGTGACTGTGACTGTAACTGTGACTGTAACTGTGACTGTAACTAACTGTGACTGTAACTGTGACTGTGACTGTAACTAACTGTGACTGTAACTAACTGTGACTGTAACTGTGACTGTAACTGTGACTGTAACTAACTGTGACTGTAACTGTGACTGTGACTGTAACTAACTGTGACTGTAACTAACTGTGACTGTAACTAACTGTGACTGTGACTGTGACTGTAACTGTGACTGTAACTGTGACTGTAACTGTGACTGTAACTAACTGTGACTGTAACTAACTGTGACTGTAACTAACTGTGACTGTAACTAACTGTGACTGTAACTGTGACTGTAACTAACTGTGACTGTAACTGTGACTGTAACTGTGACTGTAACTAACTGTGACTGTAACTAACTGTGACTGTAACTGTGACTGTAACTAACTGTGACTGTAACTGTGACTGTAACTGTAACTGTGACTGTAACTAACTGTGACTGTAACTGTGACTGTGACTGTAACTAACTGTGACTGTAACTAACTGTGACTGTAACTAACTGTGACTGTGACTGTGACTGTAACTAACTGTGACTGTAACTGTGACTGTAACTGTGACTGTAACTAACTGTGACTGTAACTAACTGTGACTGTAACTAACTGTGACTGTAACTGTGACTGTAACTACTGTGACTGTAACTGTGACTGTAACTGTGACTGTAACTAACTGTGACTGTAACTGTAACTGTAACTGTGACTGTAAGTGTGACTGTAACTGTAACTGTGACTGTAACTGTGACTGTGACTGTAACTAACTGTGACTGTAACTGTGACTGTAACTGTGACTGTAACTGTAACTGTGACTGTAACTAACTGTGACTGTAACTGTGACTGTAACTGTGACTGTAACTGTAACTGTGACTGTAACTAACTGTGACTGTAACTAACTGTAACTGTAACTGTGACTGTAACTGTGACTGTAACTAACTGTGACTGTAACTAACTGTGACTGTAACTGTGACTGTAACTAACTGTGACTGTAACTGTACTGTACTGTATACTGTGACTGTAACTGTGACTGTAACTACTTAACTGTGACTACTAACTGTACGAACTGTGACTAACTAACTGTGACTGTAACTGTGACTGTAACTGTGACTGTAACTAACTGTAACTGTGACTAACTGTGACTGTAACTGTGACTGTAATCGTAACTGTGACTGTGACTGTAAATGTGACTGTAACTGTGACTGTAAATGTGACTGTAACTGACTGTAACTTTGACTGTGACTGTAACTGACTGTGACTGTAACTGTAACCGTGACTGTAACTGTGACTGTGACTAACTGTAACTGTGACTGTAACTGACTGTAACTGTAACCGTAACTGTGACTGTAACTGTGACTGTAACTGTAACTGACTGTAACTAACTGTAACTGTGACTGTAACTAACTGTGACTGTAACTGTACTGTAACCGTAACTGTGACTGTAACTGTGACTGACTGTAACTGTGACTGTAACTGTGACTGTAATCGTAACTGTGACTGTAACTGACTGTAACTGTGACTGTAACTGTGACTGTAACTGACTGTAACTGTAACTGTGACTGTAAATGTGACTGTAACTGACTGTAACTTTGACTGTGACTGTAACTGACTGTGACTGTAACTGTGACTGTAACTGTAACTGTGACTGTAACCGTGACTATAACTAACTGTGACTAACTGTAACTGTGACTGTAACTGTGTGTGAATGAATGTTCATCAATCATAACTCTGTACCTATTTATTATGAGCACATAATGGTCAGTGTGTTTTCCTGCTGTGAAACCCAGACTCCCCTGAACAACTGACTGACCGACCAGCTGACCAACTACTGACTCTGACCAGCTGACAGATTAGCTACTCATGAGCTAATTAGCAAAGGACTCAGTGACCGACTGACTAACCGACTGACCACCTGCCAAGCTGACTAGCTACTAAGTGACTGAGCACCTGACTACCTGGCTAGCTGTTGAATGACTGACTAGCTACAGACTGACTAACTACTGACTGACTGACTAATTGACTGCCTGAGCGACTGACTACTTACTAACAGCTACACCACTGACTAGCTTACTAACTGACTAGCAAGCTAACTAATGAAGTAGCAGACTGGCTAGCTAACTAACTGGCTATCTGATCAACCATATGACTGACTGACTAGCTAACCAACTAACTTACTGGCTAGCAGACTGACCACGTGGCTACCTGGCTAGCTGGTGAATGACTGACTAGCTACAGACTGGCTATTTAAGCCCCAACAGAGGGAGGTGTTTAGTCAGTGTGGGTTCTAAAGGGTGTGTATGTGGATCTACAGCCTTTACACAGGTTCTAACTCCTACTGTGAGTCTCCTCAGGGCCGAGACAAAGGAGACGACACTGTGAGACTAACTGAGCTGGTAGAAGCTCACAGGTCTGTACACAGTCAAAATGAGTCAACTCGTCTAAACTCAGCTGAAAGTGAAAAACTGAAAATAAAAATAACAAACAGAACCGAAACAACAACACAGAACAAAACTTTGGAATTCACAACATGAACAGCACCAGTGCACGCAAATTACCCCCCCACTCCCCACCCTACACCCCCACCCCCCCCATCAGCACAGAGATAACTTCTACAAACACTCATTTCTGCAGGCGGTTTATTCTGAGGGGATCCCGATCCTGACCGTTCCTGTTTTCTCCTGTGCCCATTAAACTGTATTTGGACAGCTGCACTTTCACTGTTCTGGTTCCAGATTCTAAAGAACTTCACGTGAACACAGAGTACAGCAGCACTCCCACCGCAGGAGCACCTCACCAAAAATCACTGGCTAATCCTGGTTGCGTAACTCCTGAAACTGAAGATATTCTGACTTTGATGATGCTCAAACGTCGCCATCTGGTGGTGGCGAACCGTATCAGCCCCTGAATCTAAGCACACTTAAAGAAGATTTCTTTAAGGGTTCTTTAAGGGTTCTTTAGTGAAGACAGTGGCCGATATTTATCAAGCATCTCGGAGCAAAAACGCTGATCAAAGGTCAGGTTTAATCAGTCTATTCAGCCGATAGAGAGCACTGAAAAAGGAACCCCAGATCAGTGATCACACTCAGAACTCTGATCAACACAGGCCAAGGCTTCTATTTAGAACCATGAGTTCTATACTGAACTATGTGCGTGCTTAAATGGTTCTCTGCATGTTGAAATGGTTTTTCAGATATGTATGGCTGTGCGCAGCACCAAAAGGGTTCTTCTATAGCTACGATGTCAAGCTTGTAACAATAGCAGAACCCTTTTAAGTGCTACACAGAACCATCTTCACAAAGGTGCTATATGAAACCATTTACAGCACACTCTCCATCAATGCAGAACTATTTCACTATGCAAGGAACACTTTAAACATGCAAATGGTTCTAAACAGAACAACTGCCTTTACTAAAGAACCCTTGAAGAACCATCTTTTAGATTTTAAGTACAGGTGTAACGATTCTCCAAATCTACGATTGGGTTCATACCTTGTGGAATTTATTTGGTGTGGTGGGGTGGAAACGTGTTTCATTAAATCACCATCAATATGGGACCCTAAAGAAAAGAACACTAAAGAACATGGCAGATTAATTTAACATAATACACCGGTCAGGCATAACATTCTGACCACCTCCTTGTTTCTACGCTCATTGTCCATTTTATCAGCTCCACTTACTATATAGGTGCACTTTGTAGTTCTACAGTTACAGACTGTAGTCCATCTGTTTCTCTGATACTTTGTTAGCCCCCTTTTACCCTGTTCTTCAGTGGTCAGGACCCCCATGGACCCTCACAGAGCAGGTACTATTTGGGTGGTGGGTCATTCTTAGCACTGCAGTAACACTGACGTGGTGGTGGTGTGTCAGTGTGTGTTGCGCTGGTCTGAGTGGATCAGACACAGCAGTGCTGCTGGAGTTTTTAAACACTGTGTCCACTCACTGTCCACTCTATTAGACACTCCTACCTTGTCAGTCCACCTTGTAGATGTAAAGTCAGAGACGATAGGTCATCTGCTGCTGCACAGTTTGTGTTGGTCATCCTCTAGTCCTTCATCAGTGGTCACAGGACGCTGCCCACAGGACGCTGCTGGCTGGATATTTTTGGTTGGTGGACTATTCTCAGTCCAGCAGCGACACTGAGGTGTTTAAAAACTCCAGCAGCACTGCTGTGTCTGATCCACTCGTACCAGCACAACACACACTAACACACCACCACATCAGTGTTACTGCAGTGCTGAGAATGACCCACCACCCAAATAGTACCTGCTCTGTGAGGGTCCATGGGGGTCCTGACCACTGAAGAACAGGGTAACGAAGTATCCAGAGAAACAGATGGACTACAGTCTGTAACTGTAGAACTACAAAGTGAAACTATATAGTAAGTGGAGCTGATAAAATGGACAATGAGTGTAGAAACAAGGAGGTGGTCATAATGTTACGCCTGATCGGTGTATAATGAGAGCTCAACAGGCGGCAGCTGGTTCTGGTGGGCGGGGTCCATGGTGGGGGTGAGCGGGTACATCGCGCTTCTGTATTTTTTATATTATAGTTTGTATTGTGGACATTTGTATTTCGGTTTCAGTTTCAGTTTCAGAATCGTTACATCCCTAGTTTTAACGGTCATTAATTTTCATTTTAATTAATTAATTAATCTACTTTAACTTTTAAATGTTTGTTGTGACAGCAGCTGTTACTGCCTCACACACTTAAAACTCAACACCGTGTGTGAGAACAGTCCTAAATGATGTGTTGTACAGGCGTGTAGTTCAGGTCGGTGGAGTGTTTGAGCTGCTGTGTGTGTTTTTTTTAATTGGCTGTTTAGCCAAATGGTTAAGTTACTCAATCATGACGGAGCCGAGCCAAACCGATTAGGCAGCTGGTTGGGGTGGACGGCGTGGACAGGGGGGTATATCGAGGTTCCATGTTTTGTCTTGCGGACATTTGTATTTGTACTGTGGTTCTGGTCCCGGGTTTAAAATCATTACAGCCCTAATTTTAACTGTAGTGTGTTTGAACCCTGGGAGTAAAGCAGGGAACAGGTTTAGGGACAGAATCAAACAGTGGAGATGTTCCCAAAGTCTGACCCCAGTGTTCTCATATCGTTCTCTGGACGACAGCACAGGAGAAAAAATGACTCAGACGGAACCGAGAAAACACAGCTTATGCAGATGGATGCAAGACCCACATATGATCCAGGAACAGAGCCGAGCTCTGTAGATTTACGTTAGTCTGGAACCGATCATACGTTCTACGCTTTGTCCTTCCTGATATAAACCAGCCTGTTTGGTGAAGCTCCTCTGAAGCACTCTGAGGCTCGTGAAGGTAAAGCTTTAGTAAAGCTATTATCGATTTAAGGGACCTGAATGTCTGGAGTATTATTCTGATAAATTTCCACCACAGTAGATTTCTGCTCATGGTGACTTTGCAACTATCAAATATTCTGCTTTTCAAATATTTAATAAATATTTCATTAAACATTTGTAAAGCAGAATATTTCACGCACTCATGTATGTCATAATCTGACTGCGTATACACAGATATAGATACACATAGCACGTTAAATATCTCGGCACCTTATTGCTCAGAAATCTGTGCTGAGTCGGTGCTGCACTGTCCTGTCTGTTTACTGTGTCTAATGTCTGTTTTATTTATTGTATTTATTGTGTTGTATCCAGTTTAATTTTTTTGCACACTCATGTCCGCACGTTTGCACTTTGTACTGTCTATTTTGTTCCATGTTGGTCCTGGAGGAATGTAATTTCACTCCACTGTGTACTGTACAAAGACGGAATGACAATAACCTGATATTTAATGGAATATTTGAAAAGCAAAATACTTGATTGAATATTTAATTATATATTTGAAAAGCAGAATATTTGATTAAATATTTGATTATATATTTGAAAAGCAGAATATTTGATTGAATATTTGAAAAACAGAGTATTTGATTAAATATTTGATTATATATTTGAAAAGCAGAGTATTTGACTGAACATTTGAAAAGCAGAGTATTTGATTAAATATTTGATAAGTGCAAATATTCAATCAAATATGTTGTGGAATATTTGAATATTCTATTATGAGTCTCACAAACCTCACTTCTGACTGTCCAGACAGTCTTGCAGTTTTGTTGCTACACGTTAAATCAGTGTGCACACAAGCTGTGTGGCTGTACGATAAAGACATAAAACACGGTGTACGACAAAGCTGTCAGATATCACGACAATGATATGAGTAGCGTTAAATTAATATTAAAACAGTGCACCCCCGACAGGACGTGACGCAAGTACACTTTTTTTGTTTTGATGTTTAAACAGAAACTCAACTAAACTCTCCTTTGAACAAACAGCAAAACACACCGGTACAAAATTACAAAAGGCGTGTAGCTCAGGACGGAGACGTGTTTGAGCTGCGGTGTGTGGTTTGTATTTGGCTCTTTAGCTGAGTGGATAAGTCACTCTTGTACTGTGCGTGTATGAAGTAATCTGATTGGTGCTGTCATAGCAGCTCTTAACAATCGCTGAAAGATGAAAACGATTAACGAAAAAAAAACGACTGATCACGCAGATCTAGCTTCTGCAGAAAATCTGTTGCTGTGACATTTATAAAACCCCTTTTTAAAGCCATAATGGACCAACTAAACAGTCGTTAGTTGCAGCTCTACTATCATTATCAGAGTAAAGTGGGCAGAGAGGGGGCGGGACTTACGCTATGGACACACCCACACTCGACCGACTGGTCTTTTTTATTTCGTTAGAGGGCGGCGCGGCAGCAGGAGAATGTTTATTTATCTCAGACAAACCATCCTGCGTAGTTTACACACCATCATCGGTCCATACATGAAGCACAAATCAGAACGCTGCGTGTGAAGAAACTGACCGAATTTCTGTCGTTTTCATCGCTGTCCTCGTTCCCAGAGTCCTTCTCGTCTCCATCCTCCACGCGGCCGATATCATCATCCCCGTAACTGGCCGACACCAGTCCACCATGAGCCTCTGATGGACAAGACAGTCAGATAAATATTTATATAATAATGATGTGGACAGATAATAGTGTTTTCTATTTAAAATGAAAACGGTCAATTTAGATTTCAGTCAATAAAAGAATATTTGATTATGCATGATTAATGATTGCACTATAATCAGACGTTACATGTCTGACACTTTTTGCTTTGTATCGTTACTACAAGTTGTAGTGTAGCGTATCGTACTGTATCCTGGTTAGCATTTAAGCTTGTGGCTAGCACATCGGCTCAGGACGAGCACAGCCTGAACAGACAAACTCCACTGTGCCACTATAAATGCCTCTAATAAACTATGTTTATAAGATTAAATGCTATAATAAACTATAAAACAGAAACTTTACCATAGCAGCACCAGCATATTAACATAAGCCCCTCTCTGTAATCCTAAATGCTTTTAAGGACTTATCCAAATCACAAAGTGTAAAAGGGGGAGTTTCACCCATTTTTCAAAATCTCCCCCCATAACTCAGTGTGTGAGATGTAAACAGAGAGATTCAGAGTGGTTTGGTGTGAAATGGTTCAGATGTCTTTACAGTGGAGGTGATAGGAACCAGGGGTCGCCATGACTACAACACAAATATAGACATTTTATTTACTATCCAGAACCACCAGTGAACCTACACGAGTCTTCTGAGTCTATATGGAATGTTGATGACGGAAAATAGTGGAAAATCTGAAATAATAAGTTTTCTTTGGGGACTATTTTGCCTCACAGCGCCCTGCATGTATCCCTCCATCATGAATGGAGTTTAAGTTCTCTAAACTATCATAAAACAGTGTCTCAGTCATCAGGCAGTGAATTCATAACCATTTCATGTAGGAACTTTCTGTGAGGGAGCTTTTAGAGGTGGACGTCTGGTTCCTATCACCACCACTGTGAACAGTTCTGACTCTAAGTTTATCTAGGACGTAGCGTTTTACACCAAACCACCCTGAACCACTCTGATTACATCTCAAACGCTGAATTATGGGGTAAATTTTGGAAAGTAGCTGGAATTTCCCTTTGAGGAGCACGTAAGGCTAACGTTAGCTCTGCTGTTGTAGTTTCAGGGAGCGTATAACTTACTATCTGATCTGGAAGACGGCCTGGACCAAATAAACTAATGACCACAATCATAAATCCAGCTTTAGTTAGTTTCTGTACTCAGAGACTCGTTAACGCGAGGAACTCGGTGTAAACACGCTCGCTGCGGTTAGCTAACCGCTAACACGGCGCTGTTCCGGCGAGGTTAAACTCGCTTTAAGCTGAGCTCGGACGGTTAAACCTCCGTGTTTCTGGTTGGTTTTATATCGTAAAGCCCTGCTTCACCTTGCTCCTCGGACTCGGGCTCGGACTCCGGCTCTGAATCGTCTCCATAAGCCGCTAAAGAGGACAGCAAGGCGCTCTTCTTACTGCTCGCCATCACTGCTCTCCACAGGCCGGGCTCAGTCGCACTGCGCATGCGCGAGACCTCCACTATGGGCTGCGTCCAAAATCGCACAGTGCTGTTCTGTACATACTACTCGCTTTTCGCCTACTAATTTGTATGATAGTATGTGGTTTTGGACCAGCAATGACCAATTTTTATTTTTTGTTACAAATTCAGCTCATTTTGGAGAATTATGTGGCTTCATTTTGCCATTTTAGTTCGTTGTCTGTTTGAGTTTGCTTTTATTTTGCTCTTTTTTATGATTTAATTTTTACAGCTCTGACATGTGTCTGACATATTTTGTATTTACTTTTTAAATTTGGAGTGCTTCAAGTTTTTATATAGCACTTTTTTATTTTAGTAACAAAATAGAGCTGGGCAATATGACCATATTTATCATTATTGAGATAAATTGCGTATATATATATATATATATATATATATATATATATATATATATATATATATATATATATAACCAGATGTCAGAAAAAATAAGTATTGCGACACATTGTGTATCTTCCTGAAGTATTGTGATATTACATTTTGCCGTATCGGCCAGCTCTACTACAAACATCTCAAAAATAAATAAAATAAAGCATTAGAAAGGAAAAACACCGCGGTCTAGATGAAAAATAGCCACAAACAACGGGAGAAAAACGAGCTACAATGCACTAAATATGTACACTATATGCTAGCCTGAACAAATGTGATAGGTCTGGATTTAAAAACTCGAGAACCTACTTTCCTAATACTGCCGTGCTACTTTGGGTTTATTTAGTTAATTTTACATATTTGTATGTATTTTTTTTTAATTGTTTAAGTCTCATTTTTGGGCTTTTATTTTGTATTGTTTTGGTTTTATTTCGAAGGGTGACGTTTCTTCATTGTTTATCGCGAGATCTGGCGGCCCTGCCCACGGCTTGCTTGGTTGCTATTGGTTACCGGAGTTGACGGCGACTCCGGCTCCTCGATCAGCCGCAAATATTCTGATAAATAATCTAATAAACAGCTGAGTTCGCCTTAAATTTGACCAGTTTGTGATTATCCGCTGAAATCCCGCCGCTCTGAGCGCTTCTGAGTAAAATGCCTCCGAAAAGAGTGAACAGTGGAGTGAAGAGCGGAGTGAAGAGCGGAGTGAAGAGCGGCGGAGCGGCGGGGAGAGACTGGGAGAGCGCGCTCACTGCGGCGGAGCTCGAGGAGGTAAGAACAGGAAAAACACAGATTACAGTCATTATCGCCTGATTTACATAATCAATTTATACATCTGATATCTAATCATGGTATTTAACTTTAAAAGACTGCAGTGTGCGACAGAAAGTGTATTTCAGAACCCTAAACAGCCCATATTCTACACATCTTTTCGTATTTTTATATTTTTTCTTGTGTTCTATTTTATTTGTGATTTCTGTATTTTATTGGGAGATTTTCTCACCTCTCTTTATCTTTACAATCAAACAGGCAGTTTTTATTAATGTGCCGGTGACTGATCTGTGTGAGCTCTGATCTGATTAACTGTACCTCATTCAAAAAGCACTGCATAGTGTACTACTGCATGTGGGAAAGCCTCCAAATGGGAGGGGCATAACTCTCAATGGGAGGGCCATAACTCCAAACGGGAGGGGCATAACTCCAAATAAGAGGGGCGTAATTCCAAATGGGAGGGGCATAACTACAAATGGGAGGGCCAAAGCTCCAAATGGGAGGGATGATACTCAAATGGGAGGATCACAGCTCCAAATGGGAGGGTCATATCTCCAAACGGGAGGGGCATAACTACAAATGGGAGGGTCATATCTCCAAATGGGAGGGGCGTAACTACAAATGGGAGGACCACAGCTCCAAATGTGAGGGGCGTAACTCCAAATGGGAGGGGTGTACCACCAAATATGAGGGGTGTAACTCCACATGGGAGAGTCACAGCTCCAAATGGGGGGGGTGCACCACCAAATGGGAGGGGTGTTACTCTGAATGGGAGGGACATCGTTCAAAATGGGAGGGGCGTAGCTCCAAATGGGAGGAGTGTAAATACATTAACGGCATTTATATGACGCTGTTATCCAGAGCGACTTACAGTTTGATCATTATACACAGGCAGGTGAAGGTAGAGTTAGGAGTCTTGCCCAAGGACTCTTATTGGTATAGTGTAGGGTGGTTAACCAGGGGGGACTGAACCCCAGTCTACAGCATAGAAGGCAGAGGTTTTACCTACTACACTATACCAACTTCCAAATGGGAGGGCCATAGCTCAGAATGGTAGAATGACCCACCCCCCCAAATAATACCTGCTCTGTGAGGGTCCATGGGGGTCCTGACCACTGAACAACAGGGTAACAAAGTATGCAGAGAAACAGATGGACTACAGTCTGTAACTGTAGAACTACAGAGTGAAACTATACGGTCAGTGGAGCTGATAAAGTGGACAGTGAGTGTAGAAACAAAGAGTTGGAGTTGTGTGTTTAGAGGGAGACTGCAGCAGGACAGCTGTTTACTTCAACAAGCCCTTTTTAATAATGCGTTATTCATACACAGTTATCAGAATTATTATCGTTTGAAATGGTACATAATGAAGTGCAGTATATAATTAACACTTACAGCATCTCATCCCTTTTCCTCTGTGTTTGTAGGAGGGCTGGAGGGTCTGTGTGTGTCTGGTTGTGGAAGGCAGCACTGAGGATGAAGTGTGTGTGAACGCTCTGAATCAGGCCGTTCAGCAACCGCTCAGACGACTCTTCACACTGCTGACCTGGGAGAACATCCTGGAGAAGGTACAACACCACCACACCTGTCTGAACCTCCACTTTATTAGAAACACCCACCTTGTGCTTCCACTAACTGACCACTTTATTGGTGAATTAATGACCTGTATTTCTTTATGCTTTACAGATCAGTGAGTTGGGGAATCCAAAGACACGAAAGATCAAAGAGCTTCCAATGTTTTATGAGGTAATTTAAACACAGATAATATTAAAGCACATTGTGATATATTGATCTGTCTTATTCCAAACTGGATCTTTACCTCATTGCCCGCTGCAGTGATGTAGAGTTTATTAATAAAGTAATAAAACAATAATTCAATAATCACTGTGCAGTAATGTACGCATGTTTTATAAACAATAATGGTGTTAATAGAGTTTATAATACAGACAACACAACAACTGCAAATCACAGTGCAGTAATTACTCTGCTGTAATTTCCATGTATATAAAAATGTTGTATTACATAAAACTGAAAAAGGTAAAGTAAGATTAAATTACGTGTTATAATAGAAATGAACTAAGTTTTAGAGTAAATTAAACTGTGTGTAGGTGATGGAGATGGCCAAGGCGGCGCTGGACACTGGAGAGGAACTCTCTGTGGACCTGATGGCGAAGTTGGTGAAGTTTCAGCTGCTGAGCATCAAAAGCAGCGACCTGCAGAGGAGAGCGGCGCTACAGAGAGTGAGCCTGCAGTAAAACAGCCCCCTGGTTGAAATGTAGCTCATTATATACAATTTAGAGGAATTTTAAAGGATCAAATTTTTAATATTTCAGAAATATGTTTACAGCTACACTGTAACTGGTTGACTTTATACAGTGCTGAAAAACAGACAATAACAACAATACAACACTTTGTAAAATAGCCTGATCATTTAATTTTGGCCAAAAATAGTAAAAACATTGTTATAATTAAAAGTCTAATATTCTAACTTTTAAAAGAATTCCAGATTCCAAAATTGCTTCCTTCAGATTGAGAGTGGACATTCACAGCAGTGGAGATAAAACTCACTCAGTACGGGTATAAATGAGTGTTACTCAGTCCAGTTTGTGAAAGCGGTGCAAAAAACATGCACATGTTTGCACTGAAAAGATGTTTGCACACTTTTTACTCCCATTTTTTGTTTAGTAAAGTTTTTACTTTTTGCACATTTACATACTGTAAGGTTAACTTTTTGTACTGTAAAACTATTATTTAGAAACAATTTTTTCCATAAAAATAACATTTGCAATCTTTTTTACTCTAAAGATAAAGTTTGCACCCTTTTTGATCTGTTAGGATTTGTCTTCGACAACTTTTGCACTGTAAGAAAAAACATTTAGATTAGTTTTTGTAAAAATATCATTCTTTAACAAGAATTATTTTTTTACTGAAATGATGATTTTTGCAAACATTCTCTACAGTAAAGAAAGATTTTAGACACTTTCTTACTGTAAAGATGACCTTCGCACATTTTTTGTACTGTAAAGATGACCTTCGCACACTTTTCCTACAGTAAGGATACGTTTTAGGCCCTTTTTTACTGTAAAGATGACCTTCGCACACTTTTCCTACAGTAAAGGTACGTTTTAGACACTTTTTTACTGTAAAGATAAACTTGTCACACTTTTTCTACAGTAAAGGTATGTTTTAGACACTTTTTCATTGTCGGTCTGTGTTGTCCTTAAATAATGTTTTGACTGTAAAGTTGAGCTGAGCTGTCTGTGGTGTTGGAGGTTGTGGAGGAGAGGGCTAAAGGGAAGGCAGGTTCAGCCTCTGCAGCTAAAGAAAAGAGCGGAGCGGCTAAAGCCTCAGCTAAAGGAGAGAAGGGCAAGAAGGGTCCCGAACCGCCCCCCGCTAAAGAGACCAAACTCAAGCGCAGAGGAGAGGAGGACGACTCCAGCAGATACATCGGTGAGTAATTTACCAATAAAAATAACATTCATGTTTTTAAAGTATCAATAAAGCTGTTATAAACCACAGTCACAGTGCGTGTGCTCTGCTGTGCTCTGCTGTGCTCTGCTGTGCTCTGCTGTGTGTGTGTAGATGATGAACCAGACGATGGTCCGCAGCACTACGTCCTGATGACAGGTTTCCTCCAGCCTCAGCTGATCTCCGCTCTGGACTCTCTGGGGGTCCACGTGTCCACCGTGATCAGACTGACCTCACACAGACCAGACAGACCACATTCTCCTCCACCGACGACTGACGAACAGGGTGAGGACTTTTATTATAGTCAGAGAAAATATTGTGGTAACATTACCCTATGAATGTTTCAGTAACTACTATTAATTATTCAGTATCTACTATGAATTATTCAGCATCTACTATGAATGTTTCAGTAACTACTATTAATTATTCAGTATCTACTATGAATTATTCAATATCTACTATAAATTATTCAATATCTACTCTGAATTATTCAGCATCTACTATGAATTATTCAATATCTACTATGAATTATTCAGCATCTACTATGAATTATTCAGTATCTACTATGAATTATTCAATATCTACTCTGAATTATTCAGCATCTACTATGAATTATTCAGTATCTACTATGAATTATTTAATATCTACTCTGAATTATTCAGCATCTACTATGAATTATTCAATATCTACTATGAATTATTCAGTATCTACTATGAATTATTCAGTATCTGCTATGAATTATTCAATATCTACTATGAATTATTCAGCATCTACTATGAATTATTCAGTATCTACTATGAATTATTCAGCATCTACTATGAATTATTCAGTATCTCCCATTAATTATTCAGCATCTACTATGAATTATTCAGAATCTACTATGAATTATTCAGCATCTACTATGAATTATTCAGTATCTATTATGAATTATTCAGTATCTACTATGAATTATTCAGAATCTACTATGAATTATTCAGCATCTACTATGAATTATTCAGTATCTAGTATGAATTATTCAGTATCTCCTATGAATTATTCGGTATCTACTATGAATTATTCAGTATCTACTATGAATTATTCAGTATCTATTATGAATTATTCAGCATCTACTATGAATTATTCAGTATCTAATATGAATTATTCAGCATCTACTATGAATTATTCAGTATCTAGTATGAATTATTCAGTATCTACTATCAATTATTCAGTATCTCCTATGAATTATTCAGTATCTCCTATGAATTATTCAGTATCCACTACAAAACTGATGTGTAAATTGTGTGTAGTTATGTTGTGTAATCATCCTTTGCGTTATCAGAAAGCGCTACACTGCGGTCGGGTCAGGAGCTGGATGTGTTCTGGTCTCAGCTGGACAGAGAGCTGAACAACGGTGTTGTCGGGTCCAAACTGCAGGACGTAGTAAAACTGGACTACAGTGTGGAGCAGAGCCGACTGCCCAGTGATTCAGACAGCACTCAGGAAACGGTACACAGATACTGATGTGTGTCGCTGGCAGATAAGCTGTTTCTCCCAGGGTTCCTGAAATGTGCTTTCTTAGTTTTAGCGCTGGAGCTACGAGGCTAATATAGCCAACAAGTGATGGAAGCTCATACTGCACATGTCTGAACTTAATGTGTAGTTGTTCAGTAAATTCAAATCAGCTGCTGTGCCATTTGTCTCTTGTCTATGTGTATAGCTGGCACTGGGCGTGGCTGTGTTTGAGGGCGTGGCCTGTTTGCTGTATGACAGTTTGGATTGGAGGAAGCAGCACCAGCACTACCTGAGCAGCCTGAAGCTCGTCCACGTCCCGCAGGCCTGCAGAACCGAGCGACCTGAAGCGCCCGGCGAGGTTCGTCCAGTTTATGTTCTGATATTGTGGCCGATACTGATTTTAAAGGAAACTATTATGGTTTTCCCTTTTTTTCTCTTTCCTTCATTGTGTTGTAGCTTTTTGTGCATGTAAAGGTTCTACAGAGTCCCAAAGCTCAGCGTTCCCTCTAGAGGGAGACACTCTCTCCCACAGAACCCACTTTTCTCAGCTGCTGAAACGCCTCGTTGGAATTCCAGCCCTTTTCCTTTGTTACAGGATGACATCATCTCGTAACACAGTCCTTACTGCCCGCCTCCCGGCGAGCTCGGCCCCCTCACACAGAGAGCTACAGAGTAAAAGCCTCCCACTCTGAAACGTCCGGCTCCGGTCCAGCTTGTTCTACCTGACTTTCAGGATCAACTCTGGATGTGGCAGAACCGACGCCGCTGTAAGAGCAGACACAGCGGTGTACCAGAACTTGTAGCAGGATGCCGCTCTGGCGGTCGACCACTCAGAACAGAGTGGATGAGCTGACCAATCACAGCACACTGGGCTCATCTCTAACAGAGCGTTTCAGACAGAGGGTGAATAGAGATGAACAGTATGAGGAAAATAATGTGTTTCTGAAACACTGAAGTGCATAAATCTACTGTAGTAGCCCAAAAATAAAATTATGAATATTGAACATGAGCACATAGGTTTCCTTTAACGCCATAAACTCCTGATTACTGATAATATCTGCTGGTATAATTGTATATTTATACTACAAATAAAACAGCATTTTAATGTTATGTTCTACTAGCTTTAGCTTTAGTGTGGTTTACTGTCTGATATGATTGTTGGTTCTCAGTGGTCACACTTTTTAAACTCAAATAAAACAAATAAAAAAAACAGAAACTCTCAGTCTTAAAGAAATCAATACTGTCTCACTGGAGGCGGAGCCACCCACAATTATTTGCAGTTAACGATCTTTTATTTTTTTTATTTATCAGTTCTCCTCATTTCGAAGTGTTTTCAGTGTTATATGATGTTATAATGATGCTAAATGGGAGGTTTAGATACATTTTACATGCGTGTGTAATTTTAACCATGACTTTCAGATTCTCTCAAAACTCTTGAGGAACCATGTTTTTAAGAGTGTAGTTTTGAGATTATATTATATTATATTATATTATATTATATTATATTATATTATGCATTTTAAGGCCTCAGATTGAAGCTGAATTGTAATTGTATATTGTGTTTTCTTCAGGCTGCACAAACTCCAGCCCCACAGTCAGTACAGAAGAAGCCGACATCAGAGGAGAGAGCTGGTAGGAGAACTTCTGTCACATCTAATCTGGTTCTGCTTCACTGTTTACACCCTTTTCTCCGTCTGTATCTCATGTACACTCTCAGGTACTAAACTGTCACTGGGTCAGGGCCCCTCTTTTCACTGGGGTGGAATCCTCACTTTTCACCTGGAAAAACTTATATAACGTTCACAATCAGACCTTAAAACCACTGTTGGAGCTTTGAGGGAACATTTACACTGTTTGTACCTTGATGAAGGAAAAACGGACCTGAACAGAACCTTTATTTCTAACAGTGTGGTAGCAAAAATACCTGGCTAGCATTTCTATGGAACACATTACAATCGGTTTATAATAAATCTACAAATGTATTTCAAGATAACAGCTAAAATATCCAGACGAGGCACAGAAGAGTGATTTATTACTGTTAATTACTGTGATACTGTATGACTCACTGTTATCTATAAACATAGACTAAAGTACATTAGCATAGCTAGAAACAGTAGCAGCCACCTGGAACACTGACATTTGATTAGCCTGTGTGGACTAGTTTTAGAACTATGACCCTTTATGACTATGACTACATTTATAGAATGAGGGTGGGGCAAACTACCGCACTAATATTAGATTAAGGTAAACTAAGAGTAGAATAATGACTGTGCTGACTCTGTCCTGAGATTAGAGGTAGCGTGGCGAGGATCTTTAAACAGACGCTCTGTGTTCTCTGTAGATGTGGAGCCTGTAGGCCTCAGTGTGGAGGTGGATATGAGGCTGTACTCTGACCTGCTGGACCAGATACCGGCCGAGGTCGTCTCCGTTCCGCTCGTACTGCACTGCATGCTGGAACAGGTGAGCAAAACAACAAAACCGCAAAACCGCAGTGTGTCCAGTAGGAGGCGCACAGGGACCTCATGGGGAATAAAATGGTATTTTCTATAAATAATCTGCACCATCTGAACGTAAGGCTGATCGTCAGTTGGGTGTAAAGTCCATCCTAAACCTCACGCTGAGAGTAGTTAGTTTAAAACTAGCGACAGACAGAATTTCGGTTGCGCCGCAGACACTCACGGTACTGAGCGTAAAGTGATCGCACAGAGTGACGTTATCAGCGTCTGCATTGATGGAGAATGTGCACGAATGTGCTGTACATGGATCTATATAGAACCTTTTGAAAAATGGTTCTATATAGCACCCAAAAGGGTTCTTCTATTGTTATAAGCTTGAAAAGAACCCTTGTGAGCTATATATATATAAACATTTTCAAAATGTTCTACATAGAACCATCTACATCACATTCTCCATCAATCTGGAGAACTCTTTCATGATGCAATGGGTTCTTTGAGTGTCCAGAACCATTTTCTTTACTAAAGGACCCTGAAGCACCATCTATTTTATGAGGTGTAGGGCTATTGTAGAGATATGGTAAAAATCTAGTATCGCAAGATACACAATACGTCACGATATTTACTTTTTCAGTCGTCTGATCAGCGGCAACAGAGAAAAAGAGCCAGTAGAGCTACATTTTAAAAAAATACAGTCAAAACTGAACACAGTGATGTTTATTCAGTATTTGTCACTAAATCCAGCTAAACGGACTAATTTTATTTTATTTAACTCTTTATAATGAATCATGCAGGTGGTCAGTGTTTATAAGCACTGATGATAAACACCATATGATCAGAAAAGCAGATTGAATTGAGATATAAATAATCTTGATAATGATATATTTAAGCAGTAGAACACAGAGGGAGTGTGTTATCGAGAAATACCATCACGGCTGTGATTTGGTCACCGTACATCATCCCAGCTGTGATGTTATTGGCGATAACACACTCCTCGAGTGTTCTACTGCTTTAATACAACCGTTAAATAAATACAGTAATAAATTAATAAACTGGGCCGTGAACGCAGCGTTTAATATGTTTTAATGTTCGCAGTTCCTTCACCAAATTATAGTTCCTTAATGAGCAGTTTGTTGCTACGTCAGAGTAACGAGCTCCGCCCACTCGCTGCACAGCCGGCAGTTCGTTCTCCAGCTCCTTACACTAAATTCCCAAACTGTCATCACCACTGAGCAGCTTTTCAGTCGGCAGCTGTGACAGAAGAACAGCTGAACAACCTGGAATCAGCCAGAAATGAACCCAACACCATTCGCCAAACTAAATGGGCTGTAAGATGCTTTACAGACTGGCTGGAACAAAACAACATTAATACTGATCTGGCAGAAACTGACAAAACTGAGCTGAACCTGATATTGCGGCAGTTTTATGGCTCAGTCTGATTTGGTCAGACTCTGAAGATCAGACTACACGTTTGGCGAATGGTGTTGGGTTCATTTCTGGCTGATTCCAGGTTGTTCAGCTGTTCTTCTGTCTCAGCTGCCGACTGAAAAGCTGCTCAGTGGTGACAATTTGGGAATTTAGTGTCGTCTCATCTTCAGAGTGACCAAATCGGCTGTCGGTCAAATGTGATCTTAAAAGTGTCCGTTTTCTGTTTGTGGCAAAGTAAGAAGTGAAAATGTTCAAATGGCTTGAGCGTCTCCTACAGCTGTCAAAGTCGTTACTTAGCAACGCATCTCAGCGGAGTGATACAGTGTTTGTGAAAAACCGTGATGTTATGGTGAAATAACAGCACAGTTAGAACGCTGCTCAACCAATCAGCTCGCGTTGCTGGAACTCACTGCTGTAGTAACGTCATATTGCCCAGCCCTAGTTTGTGGATGGGTATCAGTGTAATTAACTAGTGTATTTGTGTGTATGTGCAGGTCGTGGCCTCAGAACAGGAAACTCCTGCTGGACTAACTGACTCAGAGCAGCGTGTGGACTCGACTGACCACGAGCTGACCGCCTACCTGCTGTCGTCTGTACTGACGCTGCCATGGCCAGAGCAGGAGAGAAGGGTACGGCCCTTAGTAACCAATACTAACCTGGATAACAGGGAACGGAAGCCAGTAGGAGCTCTTCAAGGGTTCTTTAGTAAAGTGAATGGTTCTATATAGGACTATGAGTTATATATAGAACAATTTGCGTGCTTTAAATGGTTCTCTGCATGGTGAAATGGTTCTTCAGATTGATGGAGAATGTGCTGTATATGGTTCTATGTAGCACCATAATGATTCTGCTATTGTTACGATGTTAAGCTTGTAACAGTAGAAGAAGACTTTTTGGTACTACATAGAACCAATTTCAAAAAGGTTCTATATAGAACCATATACAACACATTCTCCATCAATCTGAAGAACCATTTCACCATGCAAAGAACCATTTAAGCATGCGAATGGTTCTACACACTCAAAAGTATGGTTCTTCAAGGGTTTTTAGTAAATAAGAGGTTCTCTACAGAACCATGAACACTCACAGAACCCTTCGCATAAGAGTGTGTTTTAACTGGTCCTATGTAGACCTCATAACAGTAGAAGAACGCTTTTTGGTTCTATATAGAACCCTTTTCAAAAAGATTCTATATAGAACCATCTACATCACATTCTCCAGCAATCTAAAGAACCCTTTGAGGGTGCAAAGAACCCTTTAATCATGCGAAGGGTTCTTTAAGTGTTCATGGTTCTATATAGAACCATTTTCTTTACTAAAGAACCTTTAAAGAACCATGTTTTTTAATACAGTATGCAGAACCCATGGTTCTAAGTGGAACCATTCCCTTTACTAAAGAACCCTTGAAGAACCGCCTTTTTTAAGAGTGTGTTGAATGTGTTCATTGATTTCTTCATTAATATGTTATCTACTAGTAATAACCGTATCAGTGAATAAAACTATACTCATAAAAGTTTATGAATGGTTTAAACTGAGTTGATTAGTCATTATTAATTGGGTTATAATTACCGGAAAGTGATTAATAAGCAGTGACCAGTCGGTTGCCACATAGTGTTAAAACTCAGATCTTACTTTGTCTACTTATCAGTCAGCATTACACCAAACAGCTATGTCACTTATGCATATTCATCACATATCACAGCTCATTTTTACCCTCATTATTAATGTGCTATAACTGTTTCATTAATGATTTTTAATCTAATTAATAACTATTAATGAATTCATTTAAAACCATTCATAAATAGTCTTATTCTAGAGTGGTACCTGTCAGTGTATACACAGAAATATGTGTATATTTAAATGTGTATATGTCTACATATATTCAGAAACATGCGTTTATGTTTTGATTATTCAGTAGTAATAAGTATATTTATGTGCTTTTGCAGAAGCTGATGGAGGATCTTGGAGTTGTGGAAGCTGATCAGAAGAAGAAAGAGCAGACGGGTCCCTCACTGCTGCACCATCACGACGACAGAGCCAGGAGACTGAACCTCATCACTGTGAGAGTGAACTCTGATCAGTTCTATCATTTTACACCGATTTTTTATAGAATTATAATATATTATACAGATCCCAGTCATCACACACCTGTACAGACCCCACAGTCCTCACACACCTGTACAGACCCCACAGTCATCACACACCTGTACAGACCCCACAGTCCTCACACACCTGTACAGACCCCACAGTCATCACACACACCTGTACAGACCCCACAGTCATCACACACACCTGTACAGACCCCACAGTCATCACACACCTGTACAGACCCCACAGCCATCACACACCTGTACAGACCCCACAGCCATCACACACCTGTACAGACCCCACAGCCATCACACACCTGTACAGACCCCACAGTCATCACACACCTGTACAGACCCCACAGTCATCACACACCTGTACAGACCCCACAGCCATCACACACCTGTACAGACCCCACAGTCATCACACACCTGTACAGACCCCACAGTCATCACACACACCTGTACAGACCCCACAGTCATCACACACACCTGTACAGACCCCACAGTCATCATACACCTGTACAGACCCCACAGTCATCACACACCTGTACAGACCCCACAGTCATCATACACCTGTACAGACCCCACAGTCATCACACACCTATACAGACCCAATCATCACACACCTGTACAGACCCCACAGCCATCACACACCTGTACAGACCCCACAGTCATCATACACCTATACAGACCCAATCATCACACACCTGTACAGACCCCACAGTCATCACACACCTGTACAGACCCCATAGCCATCACACACCTGTACAGACCCCACAGCCATCACACACCTGTACAGACCCCACAGTCATCACACACCTGTACAGACCCCACAGTCATCACACACCTGTACAGACCCCACAGTCATCACACACACCTATACAGACCCCACAGTCATCACACACACACACCTGTACAGACCCCACAGTCATCACACACCTGTACAGACCCCACAGTCATCACACACACCTGTTCAGACCCCACAGTCATCACACACCTGTACAGACCCCACAGTCATCACACACCTGTACAGACCCCACAGTCATCACACACCTGTACAGATCCCACAGTCATCACACACCTGTACAGACCCCACAGTCATCACACACCTGTACAGACCCAATCATCACACACCTGTACAGACCCCACAGCCATCACACACCTGTACAGACCCCACAGTCATCATACACCTATACAGACCCAATCATCACACACCTGTACAGACCCCACAGTCATCATACACCTATACAGACCCAATCATCACACACCTGTACAGACCCCACAGCCATCACACACCTGTACAGACCCCACAGTCATCACACACCTGTACAGACCCCATAGTCATCACACACCTGTACAGATCCCACAGTCATCACACACCTGTACAGATCCCACAGTCATCACACACCTGTACAGACCCCACAATCATCACACACCTGTACAGACCCCACAGTCATCACACACACCTATACAGACCCCACAGTCATCACACACACCTGTTCAGACCCCACAGTCATCACACACCTGTACAGACCCCACAGTCATCACACACCTGTACAGACCCCACAGTCATCACACACACCTGTACAGACCCCACAGTCATCACACACCTGTACAGACCCCACAGTCATCACACACCTGTTCAGACCCCACAGTCATCACACACACCTGTACAGACCCCACAGTCCTCACACACCTGTACAGATCCCACAGTCATCACACACCTGTACAGATCCCACAGTCATCACACACCTGTAACTCATATGTTGTTGTTTGTCTGAGCTGCTGTTGTCTTCCTGCAGGAGTCGGATGGTTTGGATGTTGTTGGTATTGAGGCAGTGATGATGGAGAAGAGCGCTCTGTGGAACCGGCTGATGTCTGAACATCTCATCAGCTCCAGCCTCAGCCTGACCAGGAGACAGGAGCTCCTCCACCACTGCTCTGACGGTACCACACACTTAGACACACATGCATAAGCACTCACGTTTGAATTACATTTTGGGGGGGTATTTCAGGCTAAACTGTACATACGTGTTTGTGTATGTGTGTGTGTGTGTGTGTGTGTGTGTGTGTGTGTGTCTGTGTGTGTGTGTGTGTGTGTGTGTGTGTGTGTGTGTATGTGTGTGTGTGTGTGTGTGTGTGTGTGTGTGTGTGTATGTGTGTATGTGTGTGTGTGTCTGTGCAGATTCTCTGTCCGTGTCTGAGGTTCAGAGGTTACTGCAGCTGTCCGTGTTTGAGAGCATGCCCCTGACCACCGTAGATCAGAGCGGTCACCTCATACCACACTCTGACCCTTTGACCCCTTCACCCTGGGACGACCCCGTGACCTTCGCCCAGCAGCTCTACAGAACACAGGGTGAGTCGTTAGAGCTGCTTTGTTCAGGAGTTTAACGGAATCGGTTTGAAGGCTGAGTCTGAACGCAAACTCACACAGAACCGCTCCACCGTCTGAACACAGCCTGATAGGCGGAATCTCACTGCCTATACACACTTCAGAAACAGACGGTTCTTCAATGGCCTTGAGTTCTACCCTTACAAAATAAGGATACTTAACTTTCATTTTATTAAGTAAACTTAAGTAAAGTTTAAGTATATTTCCCAAATATACTTTATGTAGAGTCCATACTAACATGTACTAGTAGTTTACTTGTACATGTACAGTTTGGTCCTTCTTGGGACTAAATTGGCCCATTTTTTTGTTCATAAACTTATAAACTATACTTTGAAGTATATCACAAGTAAAATTATATATGTCCGTTGGCCTTTGGGAGGAAACCCACACAGACATGGGGAGAACATCCACACAGAAAGGACCCAGGCCACCCTGCTGTGAGGCAACAGTGCTACCCACCGTGCCACCCTTTTACTTCATGCGCTGTTACTTTATACTTTTCTTAAGTACATCTCCATCAAATGATTAAGTACAAGTACAGGCTGAATATCCTTAAACCTTTCAGGGTACCTGTAAGTATAGGCCAAGTACAATTTAGTTTAGTATATCTCTGATAAGGACATAAACATATGAAAAGCATACTCACTTATTTTTACTTTAAAAGTACACTTGAATAAACTTCTTTTTTGTAAGGGTATGTAGAACCATTTCTCGCTTAAATGGTTCTCTGCAGGGTAAAATGGATCTTCAGATTATATATGGTTCTATGCAGAACTGTTTCAAAAATGGTTCTGTGTAGCCTCTAAAAGGGTTCTGCTACTGTTACAGACTTCACGTCGTCACAGTAGAAGAACCCTTTTTTAGTGCTATACAGAGCCATTTTCAAACGCGTTTCTTCGTCTCTCAGCTGTTTCATTTCAGTGTTTGTTTTTTGTATATTACCTAATCTTTTGCGTAGCGTGATGACATCACATCCTGTTTAACAGCACTAACGTGGCTAATGTGAGCGCGTGCGTCCCAGTAGAACATCATTTAAGATCTGTAAGTGTGAATCATAAACACAGTGATGAACACTAGTGATGGGACGTTTAGTACCGAGGGTTCTGAGCTCGTTTCACTTTTGTAAAGTGCTGTTACGAAGCTTGTATCGAATGAAGCTCGAATGTATCAATGAAGCTCGTCTCACCATCGTTACTGCAGATACAGCCCTGCAGGAGGATAAACACCAACAACACAGACCAGAATGACCACAAACACATGAACAGATATGTGGACACTTTAAATTCAGTCTCCAGAAAACACTACGAGGAGATCAGCTGATTGGTGGATCCGTATAACCTGCACATCTCCAGAGTTCAGAACATTCCAGTGTGAGAGATTTTATAAAAACTAATAAAAGTGGACCAAAACTGTGAAAAGATTAAAGAATAAACACAGTTAAGCTGGATCTGCCATCTTATTCAGCGACTTATTCAAATTTTCCGTTCCACCTTAAATGGTGCTGCAGTCAGTTTTAGGTGTCTTAATTGTTGAATGAATTTTGAAAAAGAAGCTTGCAAATGAGAATCAGATATAGAAAAATGTGTCTTACGCTGCAAAGCATGGTCCTTAAAGGGTTCTTTAAAAAAGAAAATGGTTCTGTATAGAACCATAAACACTCAAAGTAGCCTTTGCATGAGTAAAAGGTTCTTTGCATCATGAAATCGTTCTTCAGATTGATGGAGAATGTGCTGTAGATGATTCTGTATAGAGCCTTTTTGAAAATGGTTCTGTATGTAGAACCCTTTTATTCATGCAAAAGTTTCTTTGATTGTTTGATTGTTTCTATGTAGGACCATTTTCTTTACTAAAGAACCCTTGAAGAACCATCTTTTTAAGTGTGTACTACGCTAAAGAGTGCACTTCTACCGGAGCTTCGCTGTTTGTACACATTATTTAGTGAGCTAGTTTGCGGTTTGGGACACAGCAGACGTGATGCTTTGGATTCCAGCTTTCTTTAGTTATCACTTCATCAACATATCAACTAAAACCAAGGCAATCATTCAAATACGTAGAGTTGCAAACCAGCATGTTGGCAGAGTGACGTCATCAGAATGAAAACAACCACAGAAAACATTCAGTAAACCTTTCTGTGTTACAAGTAACTCATTTCTGTGTTGAAGGTTCCAGAAGAAGCAGAGCGGAGCTGGAGGACAGCGCGGTATGTCGAAAGTCCTGTTTTATGTCAATTTGATGCAGTTCATCTTTTTAGTTATTTGGGGGGGGGTGGGGGTGGGGGGGGTGGGGGGGGGTGTTCTCCTCCTCTTTAACGAGCGGGTTCTTTTATAGGAGGAAGATGAAGTGACCGTAGCAGATCTCCAGAAGACGCTGACTCGGCGGCTGAGACACTGGAACTTCGCGGAACATCACAGTTCAGACGTTTTCCCTCAGGTTCCTCCACCAGCACTGAGCTCATCACACCATAACATAATGAACACACAGTCATACGCATAACATCCTCCGTTCTTTCATACGGCATTTCAGACACTATTTAAACTAAAAAAAATAAAATATGTAGCATAAAATGTGCCTTGACTTTTGCACAGGCCCTTTATAGAAAATTAATTTAGGAAATACTACTAATAAATAAAAATAAACTAATAAAGAACAAATTCAAAAGTTTTTTTAGGAATTAGGGATTTTTTTTATGTGAGCTTCTTAGATTAGATTAGATTTAACTTTATTGTCATTGTGCAGAGTTACAGGTACAGAGCCAATGAAATGCAGTTAGCATCTAACCAGAAGTGCAAAATACAGTATTATTTACATATAGAGTGCAGACGAATGGTATAATGGTTAAAAAATATAGATATGCAGACATAAATATAATATACATATATACAGATGGGTGGAGAGCGTACAATGAGGTAGTGTGTTCTATGAGGTAGCATGTAAAAATATGCAGAGTAAGGGGTTCTACAACCCCTTCTAACCCCACCCACTCCATACCTGCACTCTCAGGAATTAAGGTAGTAAACTGTCATCTCAGTCCCTTCAGTCAGGGAACATAACTGAACCATAATCCACTGAATGATATGTTCTAAGCTGTACTGACTCCACACACCCCGTCTCGTCTCCAGGCTTTTATTTTACTGTTCTGTTTAAAACATTCGGTTATGAAAAGGTACAAATACGAACTTTTCACCTGGAAAAACGTATTTAAGGTTCACAATCAGACCTTAAACCCACTGTTGGAGCTTTGAGGATAAAAGGAAAGTCCTCCTGTTCCTCTGTGAGTGTAGGTTGTGAATTTGTGGTTGTGGATTTTGGACGTTGTTTTTGTTTATTCAGGTCCTCCAGGTGGCGTCAGAGTCTTACAGATGTGTGGACACTTTCTCCAGCAGCCACGACAGCACCGTATCCATCATCTGCCACAACCCCATGAGCCCTCAGAGGAGCAGCAGGGAATGCTGGGAGGTGGCTCTTCACACTGACGTTGGATTCAGGTTATTCTGGGATTAGTTTTGTTATGCAGTCAGGTTACCGTTATTGTGTAGTTTAGGTTAAAGAATAAAGCTCTAAATCTGGTTAGCAGGTAATCATGAACTTCCACTCGGTCAGTTCCATAACAGTGAGAGAAGAAGCCTTCACACTTGGCATCAGAGCGTGTGTCTCTAACAGACCTTCCATTTACACTCACGCTTCATTTTACAATGAAGTACAGACTGGGAGACTGAGGTTGTAAGTGTGGGTGCTGCTCTTTCTCCAGTCACAAAATCCCGTAACCAGAGATGCTTGGAAATGGCAGGTTTGAACAGCTACACGTCTCGCTGTCCACTTATGATCAGGTCACTCGAGACAGATGTTAATCAGAAGTGTGAACAGGTCCTGATACGGTGGAGGATCTATACAGAAGTTGTGGTTTCCGCAGGAATTATCTGGAGCACGTGGCTGAGCGGATTACAGACTGGACCAGAGCGGAGGAGCAAAAACATCAGGAGCAGAAACAGCAAAGAGAAACGGAGATACAGACGCCCTCTCAGATCTGCAGGATCAAAGGCAAAAACTACACTAATCCATCACTCACACACCACACATTAACCTACTGCCAGCATTTAGAGATTTAAAGGGTTATGCTATAATGAAAGTGGCCCAAGGAGAGACACCTGAGGAACACCACAGTGAATGTATGACACACATTCACAAATTCTATAAACATATTGCATCAATTAGATCATGATCAGGATCAAAATCACTTTATTGTCACTACATTTGTTATAAAGCATTTTTGTTGGTTAAAAATTTCTGTTTCTCTTTCAGAGACTCCAGCAGATTCTCCAGTCCCAGAGCAGACGGAGCCGTATATAAGACACGACTCACTCAAAGTAAGCATGGAAATGCAACACTGTGCAAAAGCCTTAGATAACTAGGAAAATAGATTAAAGCTGTTTATCTCAGCCTTAAATGTGTTTTTTCTAAATAATATTAGAATAAATGCAAACATACAGTCAGGTCCATAAAAAACAGAAAAGAGCGAATTCCAGGCTTTCGCCTTTAATTTGTTTACGTCTAAATCGGGTGAACAGTGTATGAATCACAGCCGTTATCCTACATCACCCCCACTATTAGGTTAATTAGAAGTAATTGGACAATTGGCTGGTCAGTAGTTCCATCGCCAGATGTCTCATTCCCTAATTAAATTACCCAGAAGTAAACAGATAAAAGGACTAGAGTTGATTTCAGGCTGGCCTTTGCATTTGGAATCTGTTGCTCAATATGAAGTCAAAGGACCATCATTAGGCCTGGGTGATAGGGCGGGGTCTCATAGATGATGGGCAAGTAACCCGATGGCGATGTGTAAAAGGTGATAATCGCTGTTTTGGGAAAAGAACTGGTAGCGAATTAGAGAGAACTAATTTACCATTAAAAAGCTCGTAAATATGTTGGGAAACTGGGGTTCATCTTTAAAAGTTGCCCCAATTATTTTTTTTTTTTCAGTTTGAGAGACAGAGAGAGAGAGAGTTAGTTAGTCTCTGCTACAAAATGTAATGCTAGATGCTTCACTTTTCTATTTTCAATTTTACTTTACTGTTAAGTTCAGCTTGAGTGAATGGAAATAATATAAATGCTTCAATGCTTTAGAACTTCAGTGTGACTCACAGCAGTCAGACAGCTGAGCTAAATGACTGGGTTTTACCATAGAGCAGCTAAGTTGGCTCTAACCTGGAGAGAAAGTTCCTCTGATCCTTGTCTATGGCCAGGAAACAGGATCAGGTGAAAAGGTAATAAATAATATCAAATAATTTGTTTTATTCACTTTTGCTGTTAAAACATTAAATTACAATGGTGCTTTTAAAAGGCTAAAAAAATAAAACCCCACTGTGTCTGCAGTGTTTGATTTTCTGAGTAAGATGTGCAGCATTTCTGTACAGATTGTGTCCTGGTGGTTAGTTGAATAATGAAAACACTGCTGTAACGACGGAAAATGTCTTGTTTTATTAATAGGTAAAAAACGTTGATTTGGCTTTGGATCACCGTAAATCTACACCAGAAGAAGCTCATGAAAGCTTCATGAGTTTGCACTGATGTTTCTTATCACAACAAATGAAGTGTTTAAAAAGATGTTGGGTTACACAATGTTACATCAGTTTTATATGTGGTTTTATTCACGATTTGACTTAATGCTCAAAAATACATATACACTAAAAATAGATTTATTAGTTAATAAAATTATCATTTTCTATCATTCATTATCATAATTATCAATTATACCACCCTCCAGATATCGCCAGGCCAAAAACACACCAATCAGAGTGATAGCAAACACATAAGATGTGGCCAGACCAACTTTTTGGTACATTCTTAAAAGGCAGTGAGCTCTGAAATGTCAGAAGGTCCAGAACTGCATGCAACATGGGTTGTGCTTCGGACCCCCACAGGAGGACGAATATGACTTTTGCGAGTGTTCTTAAAGAAAAATCAAAGAGAGCTCAGTCTAGACTCGGTGAAGCAGCGTCTCTGAGGATGAGAGTGAATTATCTACTACTGTCATCACATCTTCATCAGTGCGATGTTGATTCTGAGATCATTTGAGGCCGAAACATCGAGCCGGACCTCCTTTTAGAGTCTCTGTGACGTTATTATGTAAAGACGTACGACGTGGAGTGAAAAACTCGACGCCTCTGACTTTTAAATGATGATTTCAGGCTTTGCAGGCGACTCACTGCAGCTCATCATATTTTTATTCTCCTCACTCGTAACGACACATCTTTCAGTTTTAACATGAAAATATTTCACAGTGCTGCTTTAAGGCTTCAGCTCTGCATTCTGATCTCGTGGTTTTTATCCTCTCCTTTCTTTAAGGCGTGGAAGCTGGAGCAGGACAGGCTGAGGGAGGAGGAACTGTCCAAAAAGATGAAGAAGGAGAAAGGAGGGAAATCTTCGGCTAAAGGAGACAGAGACTCCGCCAGAGAGAGCAGGAAGACAACATCACCCAGCAAGAAAACCACAGAGGAGCCCAAAACACCCGAAAACCCCAGACCACCCGCCGACACGAGAGAGGACACCCAGGCACCCAGAGAGAGCCCACCTGTGAGTGACCAAACAAATTGAAGCAGCCAGGTGTTTTACTGTTTTTTTTTTTGCTCCAGATGTTTGTAGTGACCTGACTGATTGTTTATCATAACCTTAAATACTGTTTGTTTTATGTCTTTTAAAT